TAACTATAAAATTTTTTATCTTACACAACAACAACAAAAATATATACATATGTTTCAAAATATTTTTATTTTATTATTTCTTTTTTGTTGTTGTCTTTTTCAAGATATAAGGTTAAAAAAATTCAAGGTTATGTGATGAGTGGTGGGGTGGCGTCCTAGCGCCCTCTATTGGCCAGCTGTTACTAAGCGAGACAGCAAAAAAACATACAGAAAACATAGAAACAATTATTGTTTACTTCTGTTCAAGCTAATTTTATGTCCCTATCTAAAAAAAAAAGGCATGCAAATATTTTTTGTTGTTTGGTTTTTTATATGGAAATATGCACAAAAACATAAAAAGAGGTTCATACAGTGGGTAATTAACACCTTCAGTCCTATAGCATGTAGACATATTTTACAAATAAAATAAAAATCATTAGCTGTAAATTTAGAGTTAAAATGACAACACAGACAAACATCTCAGGGTCATGGCTTTATTTCTGCAGGACTTGTTTGTAGATTTGCTCTCACTGGTTGTCCTCTGTTTGGACCACCTCAGTCCGCCCTGAGGGGCCGGGGGCAGGTGTTGGGCAGCGAGAGCCAAAAAGATGCCCCTAGCCTCCTACAGTCTGGACCGACAGAGGAAACCTTTTGGTGTTCTAGCGCCGCTCAAGGTGGCTGCATGTTGGAACAGCTCTGTTACTTTCATTCTGAGATGTTGCTTTTGGAAACTTTAATTCCTCTTTATTCTGGCTGTAAATACTTTTATTTGGCTGATTATTTCCTTTGATATTAGATGTTGTGCAGCTTGAAGGAGTTTTACTGAAACCCTTTTTGTTTTTGGACATTTGTTATGATGTGTGACCATGGGAACAAAGTGGTTTTTACAATTGGGAGCAGCTGATTAACATCTCATAAAACCTCTGCTATGGCCCCAAATCACAGAGTTAAAAAGAAGGTGCCGTGGATGCATCCCCGTTTACCTGGCAGAGGGTACCTGACCGCCAAGATCCTGGAGCTGGTGGGAAGTGTGGCTTTTGACTACAAGAAGACCAGGATCATCCCCCTCCCCGCTGGGAGGAGAGACCATCGCTCAGGGAGGAGTTCTGCCCAAGATTCAGGTGCTCCTGCTGCCCAAGAAGACCGAGAAACACACCAAGTCCAAGTAGACAGATCAACACCTGCAGCCAGTTTCTTCAGATCTGCTCTAAGAGATCCTTCCTGCCCACAGCCATCAGCATCTACAACTCTAAAGAAACCAGGATGATGAGTTACAACAACATTTAATTTCCCTTTAGGATTAATAAAGTATTTTTGAATTGAATTGAAACCTTTGATGAAAAAAGAATGGATACAAAGTATCAGATCAAATGCGACGTAGCGGAAGGAAATTGTGATTGCAGTTTGAGCGTGACGCACTCCGGCGATGCAAAGGAGAAGAGATGAGCGTACTGTCAAGGAATGAGGGATGCAGATGGATGCAAACAGAATAAAGGAAGGATGGAGGATGAAGGAAGACGGAAATGAAAGAACAAGAGCGGGACGGAGTGTGTGACATCCAGGAGGCGTGGGGAAGCAGGAAGTTGCATGATGAGATTAAAGTGTGTGTCGGTGTTCAATCCATCGTTGATCACTGTGGATCGGACAGGAGGCCGGTTTCCAGCACGTCGCTCAGCAAGCCGCTGCTTTGGCAACGCGTGCCTCACTGCGATGACGCACCAACCCAGACAGAAGAAAAACAAACACGAGTCTTAGCCGTTTCACAGAAAACAGAGCCAGGTCACCTGTCTTCATTTAGTGAAACAGCAGCACACTTGTTTATGTCACCGTCGAGGGTGACTTACTCCTCGGAGGACTCTTTCAATCGCCCTCTTGTTTCATTTGTCAGGTTCAGTTAACTGCACTGCTTTATTCTCTGTTCACAGCTATTCATTCTTCATAACGTGATCCAAACCCACGGAGCTTTTATGAACAGAGCTTCACGTGTTCAGCACGGATCATTACGATGAAATGATTCTTCACCCTTAATCTTTTCAGCATCAAATACTTCCTGTTGGCTTGAAAGGATGTTTGTTAAATGTTTGAGGGCAAAGATTGTGTTAAACTTGCTTTGTTTCAGTTTGTACCTCTTATTAAAAGTCTTTCTGTATTATATATCATCACAAATCAAGTTCTAGACTTTTTATTTGCAGGTTATATTGGTAAAATTGGGATAAAATGGACGAAAAATCACTTAAGTTTATCATTTTGTTATGAAAAGTTGCAGAACACCTGCATTGATTGGAAATCATTCAGAAAGTGGATGAGAATAAAAGTGTAGTATCCTGAAATGATTGGTGTGGCTGGTGGGGTGGCCAAAGATTAATCTACAGCGGCCAAGGCCACCATTTGCCACCCCCTGTTCCGCCATTATGCTTGGTGGTGAATAAATTTGGTCCCTTCACTTTTTTTATTGTGCTCTATTAATCTCCAATGGGGAAAGTAATTATCTGCATTTTTCCCATTGCACATGTGAGAACACATGTGAAGCAGTGGGCTGCCATCCAAGGCACCTGGGGAGCAGCTGGGAGGGGGGGGGGGGGGGGCAAAGGCCTTGCTCATGGGCCCAGAATGGTGCAAATGAGGGTGGAGGCAGGTGTGGGCGTTTCACCTTTTCCACCCACATTTTGATGTTGTCTGCTCGGGGAGTTGACCGGCGACCCTCTGATCACAAGCCCACCCTCTCTAACCTCTGCACCACTGCTCCCCCTAACTTGATGAGATCCGTCCTTCTGCGATGCCTCAAGCAAAGCAATAAAATAAAACCTACGTCTGTTCGTCTCCACAGTGTAACTCCCACTGTAAGTTTATTTACATTCCCTGTTCAGAAAAAACATCTAAAAACCACAAACATTCACTATTCAGATCCGCCAGCGACCGGAACATCGGCGTACCGATTGTTGCTTTTACAACCAAGGATGGAGCTGAAAAGAGCTGTGATGCTTTAGGCTTGTAACGACGAGCAGCTCGGTCTTTGGGTTGTTCCACAGGTGGGGGGCGGACAGTTCATGTGGCCCTGAAGAAGCCATCCAGATTGCTGACTTTAGACTCTGTGGAAGAATTTATAGGTGTTGAGGAGATTAGTGTGTGTAGATGAACAGATGCTCGGATATATTCATCATTTAACACGGATTCCTCATTTTTCTGGACTGAATAAAACGTGCATTGAATTTAAGGAAATGCAAACGTGAGACGTCATCTATGTTTGACCCATCAAAATGAATGCGGTCATTTATTTACAGAATCAAAATTTAACATCAAACATTTACATTAATTTGGCAAATTATGAAAATAACAACATAAGCAATCAATCAGGAAAAATCATACGGCCATGATTTTTCCGTTGCTTCACCACAGACATTTATGAAAACTGTACAATTATGATCTTTTACCCACATGGATGTGGGTGAGCATTTTACACAGACATTTCTAAAATATCTGGAAGAATTTCTACTTGAGAGAAAAGTTTAAAGATGAAAGAAGTTAAGAGGGAGTAAGAGGGTGTGTGAGGGGAAGTAAGTGTTCACCAGAACCGACACTCTCCATCAGAAACCCAGCTCGCCTCGGTACGCTTGGTAGGAAACTTGACCCATTACCTTTCTGATGATAATCAGCAGATATGGTGTTCCGTTAACGCTACCTGTCCAGCGTCTCCTTAGGATGCTGTGAATCGTCAGAAGTAGTGGCGAGTGAAAATGTTATAATCCCATGGAACTCGGAAGAGCTCTGTTGTCATGTCAGGATCATCCCGTCTCTCACAGAACTGGGCTTCTCTCACAGAACTGGTTGGACTGTGTATCCAGCAGAACTCCAACAGCACTCCATCAGAACTGAACAGAACTGTCCCAGAACTGTTCCAGCACCATCCCAGAGCTTCTAACAGAACTGTGTAGTTTACAGATCTCGAGCAGAGCCAGAACTCGAGCAGAACCTCAACAGAACTTCAACAGAACCGTGTAGTCCAGGAAGTACTGACATTTTAAAGAGCTGTTTCCCGGTTCACTTTTGGGAGTATTACCATTGGTCAGAACCGACCAGACGGGGTGTGTTTTGTGACGTAAGAGGTTAGAAGACAGCAAGAATTGTTATGGAAAGATCAGAAATGTTCTCACAGACAGAGAGAGTTTTGTTTTGGCGCGTTTCAGAAACAGGTGCCAAAACCTCTATATTTATGTCTGAGAGGATTCTAAAAACATGCCAACAACTTGTTTTGCGTTTGACTCCAACCTTGGACCAACTTACACTTGCTCATTCAAAAGCAGAAATCAGAAAAGGCATAATTACTCTGTAACAGCTTTGACATGAGTTCTAATTTTGCGTGAGAAAAAATCATTACACAGTTAATAAAATTGATTAGTTCACTGCAACATCTAAAATGGTTTGAACTAAGACACTTTGATTATCAACATTTGTAAAATAGTAATGATAATAAAACAGAGAGTGTTCTTTTCACTTGAATCTTCAAGAGAGAAAGTCTCAGGATGGGTGAACCTGTATTTCTGGATTCAAATCAATGAAATGACAGTTCCTGTCCCACAAGGTTCTTAAGGTCAAGATTTTTGACCTTAGACTTAGTTTTTGACATGGGCCTAGTCCACTACATGTGGGACTGTGGTTCTTTTTGTTTTTCTGGGTGCTCAAATGAATTTACAGACGAGAGCTCGTTGTTTCCAAATAAATCCATGAAGGATTTTAACTCTGCCACTCGTTTTAAAACAGTTTAACTCAAAGGGCCGACTCGTTCGTCAGGTCTGAAAGTTTTAAATGGATCTTCGTCTATTCTGCGTGAACTCTGACCGGGTCCAGTATCAGACCGAACCACTCAACAGCTGCACTAATGAAGCCGCCGAGCGCCCACAACCAGCACGAGCTCTCAACTTTGATTAGATTGATATGAAGGTGTGCTGCGCGTTATTAATAATACAGCATCAGACACGTTGACTGCTCATTTATTCATGGCTGCCCTTTCTGTTTGTTTACAGATCAGACGCAGGAGGCCCACACCTGCCACGCTCTTCAGAGTCGCCGACCAGCCGTCTCCTGAAGACGATCAGGCCGCTCATCAGGTGAAGGTGAAATCAACTTTTCTTCTTCTGAATGTTTGTGCATTCTCATCTCTCTGTTGTTACCCCTCCTTACTAATAAGTCAATCATTGCAACCTTTATACTGAGCCAGCTTTAATCCTGCAGTGTGTAATTAAAAAAAATGTGGTTTTATTTTTATTATTTAAACCCATTTAAACTTTCTTAAGCTTTAAGGTAGTCTTGAAACAGAGCAGCACTGAGTGCAAAAACATACATGTGTGCATGCACATGTACGGTAGTCCCTCGCTAATTTGCTGTTCGTTTATCGCTGACTCGCTCTATCACGGTTTTTCAAAATAAGATTGCGCTGAATGATGGATGAGCCGCACGATTGGCATGGATTGTTGATTTAAAACAAATTATTTTAAATTATTTAGCAACTGCTGCACCTTTGTGCAGCCCATACTGCAGGATGAACTTCCTGCTGCAGCTGATCAGCTGATCTCCATGCAGTGTAAAAGTGGGCGTGGCCTAGAGCACTTACAGGTGGCTGAAAACAGAGGAGGCAGAGAGAGGGACATTCTGTGCTCTGTTAGAACGTTTAGAGTTTAGAAACATTGTTTGGAATATTGCAAGGGAAGGGTTTAAAATGCCGTTTATATATATATGTATGTATATGTATATATATATACAGTTAATACTAAAATAAACTACTACTTACTACTTGTATACTACTATTCCTACATCACAGTTTTTCACTTATCTTGTGTCTTCAGGGTATGGATCCCCTGCGATAAATGAGGGACTACTGTTGTTTGTTGTTGTTCACATGATGAAAAAGTCTAACATCAAATTTTATGATAAACCAAATATGTCTCATGACCAAAGAAGCCAAAATAATCCCAGAAAAATTAAAACCTACTGAGCAAATAAACCGTACCACCTGGAAAATGTCTCATAAGAACAGTATTATAAACCTCATCGTTATCAGTTCTTTAAAAAGTTTTAAATTATCTTCTGTGTGTGAAGTATGTTTAACGCTTTATTTATAATTTTGATGGATTGGAACATGAACGAATGTTTGTTTGCATCCCCACCCCATTTTAAGGTGTCTTATTTCAGCTTTACTTCCATCTTCACTGTCTGGATGCATTAAAGTTGTAACAAAATAAAATTTGTATTGTCATATTTATGAAAGGCAACTTTGTTTTTGAAGTTTGAACACTGAATGACTTTGCTGAAAGCTGCTGAAACTGAGATGATAAAGCTTAAAGAAACAAAGCGATAGCTTAAAGGAAACTAACCAAAATGAAAACAATAAGTAAAATAAAAAAAGAGCATAATGCAAGCTAAAAGACAAACAAAACCCTAAGATGCACTGAACAAAAATATAAATGCGACACTTTTGTTTTTGCTCCCATTTCTCATGAACTGAACTCAAACTCCTAAGACTTTCTCTATGTACACAAAAAGTATTTTTCTTAAAAATATTGTCCACAAATGTGTGTAAATCTGTGTTAGTGAGCACTTCTAATTTGCTGAGATAATGCATCCACCTCACAGGTGAAAGCATAACATGAAGGTGATTAGACAACATGATTATTGCACAGGTGTGCCTTAGGATGACCACAATAAAAGGCCACTCTAAAATGTGCAGTTTTATCACACAGCACGATGCCACAGATGTGCCCAGTTTTGAAGGAGCGTGCAGTTGGCATACTGACTGCAGGAACGTCCACCAGAGCTGTTTCCTGTCAAATGACTGTTCATTTCTCTGCTATAATCCGTCTCCAAAGGCGTTTCAGAGAATTTGGCAGTACAGTGGTCCCTCGCTACGTCACTGTTTCCGCAGATTTGCTATATCGCTGTTTTTCAAAGTAAGACTGGACATGACACAATTGACTGATTGATGGATGAGCCATGGACTGTTTATTTAAAACAAATAATTTTAAATGATTTTGCACCTGTGTGCAGCACACAAGTGCAGGAGGAATCTACCCCCTGCAGCCTGTCATGATCTCCTCTGCCACGCCCACATTTCTCCTGCTGCATCGGCTTCATGAAGGTTTAACTCTTTGCTGTCCAGATGCACCGATCCACTTTTGTCTTCCAACTTAAAATTCAAAGTATGTCACATCGTAAAATCGTCATAATCACAAAATAAGGTTTTTTTTTAAAAATTATTTTAGAACTTCTATGTTCAGTTGTTTCAGTGCAACTGATCAAGAAGTTCATTTGTGCTCCGTGCTGCAGAGCTGAAGCTGAGTGACATCCTTTCACGTCCTGCTGCACTTCTCTTCTCGACAATTTAAATTTAAATACTGTAACATTTTAAATAAACAATCCATGCACGGATTGTTTATTTAAAATGAGGGAGATTGGGAGTAACAGGTGATGAGTGTGATTGCAGCCTGGCACATGTCATGACAAAGTACTGAACTTCAACTTCAACTTGGACTAGACTGTATCCCTACCTCACAGTTTTTCACTTATCCCCGGGGGGGTGGGGTGGGGGGGTGTCAGGATATGGAACATCTGCGATAAACGAGGGACTACTGTATGCAGTATATGAGTTACAATCTGATCTCACAGTAATTATAAACTGGTTCTTTACTGTAAAGTCATGGAGACAGGAAACCTGCAGCACAAGCGTCATTCTAAACTGGTATTGTGTTATGAACTAGATCAAATTTGTAAAAATCTGTGTTTACGAATGTCAAGAGGTCACGAGCAAAGGCATGTGGACATGTGGCATCATGCCATGCCACATGTTTTCACTCACAAAAAATAAATGCTCAAAGCTTCACAATTTGCCTGATATCAGACAAAAATATCTCCGGATTTTAACCAGCAGCTGTCAGCTCAGTCAGTTGGACAACAAGGATGAAACGCCTCATTTCACGCTGTGGTTTCAAGCTGATCTTTTCACGCTGACGCCGCAAGATGTTGCCAAAAAGAACTGTGTCGTAAATCACTTACAGAGACTGACTGGTTTTCTGACGCACCGCGATTAAGTAAAACTGCGCATTTTAGAGTGGCCTTTTATTGTGGGCAGCCTAAGGCACACCTGTGCAATAATCATGCTGTCTAATCAGCATCTTCACATGCCACACCTGTGAGGTGGATGGATTATCTCAGCAAAGGAGAAGTTCTCACTAAAACACATGTACACAAATGTGTTAACAATATTTGAGGGAACGAGGTCTTTGGTTCCCTGTGATGGACTTGCGACCTGTCCAGGGTGTATCCTGCCTCTTGCGCAATGATTGCTGGACATGGGCACCAGCGACCCCCATGACTCAAAAAGGAAAAAGCGGATAAAAGATAATGTATGGAATGGATGGATGGCCTTTTCATAGAAAAATAGAAAAAGTCTTCGATCTTGTAGTTCAGCTCATGAAAAATGGGATCAAAAACAGAAGTGTTGCATTTATATCCTGATGCATGCTCAACGTTGCATTTATATTTTTGTTCAGTACATGTATACTTAAACTCCTCCATCAGAGGCAGCACCTCACTCCCAACTTGGAGATTCAGTCCACCCTTTTCTGACTGAGGTCCACAGTCTCAGACATGGAGGTGCTGGTCCTCACCCCAGCTCCAGTGAGAACTGCAGATCATGCATCAACAGGAACACACCATCTGAAAATCACAGCGACAGAATCCTGAGGTCACTGAACCGGACCCCTAACACCTCCCTGGCTGCACCGAGAAATTCTGTCCATGAAAGTTTTAAACTGAATCGGTGACAACAGACCAAATGACCAAAAACCTTGATATTATAATTGTACCTTGGTGTAAAAGTAAATTTAGTGGGAAAGCGTAATTTGGTGTTTTCTGCTTCTTCTTCTCTTTTTCATGACAGTGGGTCGTGGGAGAGAACGGCGTGCTCAAACCAAAACGTGTGAATCCAAGCGTGTATCAACCTCCATCACTAAAAGGTCGGTCCAAACCGCTTTCATTCTGCAGGTGGTGGGTGTGTGGATTGTGATTTATCCTTCCGTTGAACTCCTTCCCTCTTCTACCTCGCTTTGCTGCAGTCTTCATCCTTCTTGCTTTATGATGCAGGTGAAGAGAGAGAGAGAAAAAATGCATGTGACAGATGGATAGCAATAAAAAGCTTTATGTTCTGTTTCTGTGCATGAGTCTTGTGATATGCATGCTTCTATATGTTTAAAGAAAACACTGAAAAAGCAGAGTGTGTGTGAGAAACGGATTAGAGTGGGACAGCTGTGAGTGTGAGTCTAGGAAAGTCGGGATCATCCAGGATTACAGTCAGTTATGTATACAGCTGTGGCACAGTCACACCGACATGAACAAACCGCATCAAGGTTGAAAGTCGTGCACGATTTCCTTTAGTCTCTGCTGCATGTGAAGGTTTCCAACATTGTCTCGTCTGCAGGGGATTTTAGGGGGTGCGTTATTGTGTCGAGTGATCATATAATGAATCCGGAAGCCCTGCTTCTGATCCACAAATCTGCCCGTCGTCAGCTCAGACGTGGAGAGCGAACTCAGGAAGATTTCGAGTTGCGTAACTCAGTTAAGCTACAAAAAAAAAAAAAAAAACCTGCATCAGTGCTGTGTTGTGTTTGAGGCAGTGAAAGAATGCTGAAGCTAAGGTGACCTAAAGGACGAGGAAGGGGAGATATAATCACAGAAGAGACAGAGAACGATGAGGATGAGGGAACACAGTGTGAGAGGCAGGGGCGCCTCCATTGAGGAGCCTGGGGGGGTCTGTACCCATCCTTATAAATTTGCTGGTTCCCCACTGCCCCCCCTTGGCTAGACAGTATTATCAATTTGAGTCCTGAGTTGTTGTTTAGTGTGCAGCTTCAATTCAGAGTAATAGAACATTAAAAAAAACATTGTTTTGAAACAATTAGTAGTTAAAAAATACAAAAGGCTGAATCTGTCTCTACTATTTCAGCATATCTTTGTAAAAATAAATCATTTATTTTCACTTTTTTGGTTTACTCTCACAGACAGTAAAGGAATGTAAATTTGGATTACCGGTGATTCCCAACCACGGTCCTTGAGGAACGCCGTCTTGCGTGTTTTACTTGTTTCTCTGCTTTGTCGCATCTGATCTGAATGAATGGTTGATCTCCTGGCTTCTGCAGAACTTGAGGAAGTACAGTAATTGAATCAGTGAAACAGGTGTGTTGGGGCAGGGAACAATTGAAACATGCAAGATGGTGTTCCTCAGGGATCATGGTTGGGAACCCCTGGATTATACAACTGCTTTGCATTGTTTCAATGTAAGCGGGGACCAATGCATTTTTTTGTGTTCATTTCAGAAGACAGTTCCCTCAAATAACGCAGTATTTCCTAAATAATATGACAACATGATAAAATTCATGAACATGAGGATTTTGGTGCCTCGTCAAAATTATTTGTGCAGAAATATTTCTGGAGGTGGCCCTGGTGTGAGGAAATATAAAAATAAAACGAGCTAAAAACAAACAAAAAAAAAAGAGTTTCTTTTCTTGCTGTCTCTCTGTCTGTCAGTGCATGCTCTTCACCGGCTTCCTGCTGTTCAAATACAAAGTGACTGTGTTGAAGCGTGGTAAAACCCAAAACAACATGTCCCTCTGTCCCCGTGTCCACGTGTCCTTGTGTTCCTGTGTGTCTGTGTAGCTGTGCAGAAGATGGCTGAAGCACAAATGCAGAAACTAGGTGTCTATCCTTTAGAAGACCCTGGTGAAGGGGAAGAAGATGAGGACGACTGGCAGGAGGAGGAAGAGGAGGAGGAGGAGGGGGAGGAAGCATCTCTCGCCGAAGCTGCTGGTGAGACGAGGCTCGGTGTCCACCAACTGGGAAGACAACGGCAGCAATGTGACAACAAAGAAACACAATTAAACTCAAAGGAAAACACACATTGAGCGTCCGTATGCTGCTGGCATTTATATATAGTTTTTATTTTATCTTTAATAATTAGTTTTCTTTTTTCTTAAAATAAAAACTGGGAAGGTGTTTAAGATCAAATGCCATGCAAAATGAGGCAACGCTAGCAGGAAAAAGCAGTGAAAATACAAAGTTATTCAAAAGGGAGACATTAAGCATTTCAGATAAAATATTATTCACCTAATTTGTGCATAAATGTGTATTTTCTAAATATATTTGCATTTTTATTGCGTTTTATATCAATGGATGCTTGAAAAGAGAGGTATTTAAGGTATTAAGAATACAGCAGATAATCAAAAGTTAGTAGTGACCAAACTTCTCCTCTCAAATGTCCTAATATGAATATTTTAGACCAACTAACAATTAAATAAACACAATTGTTCTTGATAGAACTGTAAGGTTTTATGATTTATTCTCTTCCAGTCTTATTGGCTGTAGCCGTGTTGTTTGTTTGAAGCTGCAGTTTGTCCAAGAATAGATTTAGTCATGTTGCTAATTTTAAAATGAACAGAGCACCTTTAGATTTGTTGGCTGGTTGGTTCACATGCTTTTCTTCCATAGCCGATAAAAGTTGCATATTTTAGAACCGAAGTAATAATTTGTCCTTGAACAAATGGGCTGCTTTGGTCTCATTTTCTGCAAATTACGAATCAACGAGAAGCCAAACGAAAAAAACAAAAGTATATTTATCCAAGGATACAAACTGTTGCATTTTGTTTAAACATCGTTTCACGACTTGGACTCAAAGTTTTGATCTAAAAAAGGAAATAAATTGGAGCTTGTTTTATGCTTTTATTTTTCACCCAATTTACTTGAAAGCTCAGCTCCAATTCACCCTGAACGTCTCTGATTGTGAAAATAAAAATAAAAACTCAGTTTTTGTGACTACAGAGTGGACCAACCAAAAAAAAACTACCACTAATTAACTAAATAAACTGAAATCTGTCAGGAGCCAACCGAGAACGTGACAGAGTGATATTCTGCGCTGCGTTCAGGGACGGCAGTAAGAATTCGTCTTGCTGTCATTTCTGCCTCGTTATCTGCAGGAGATAAACAAGAAAGGAGAGGAACCTTGGAGGATATTGATTTGCACCTAACAATAAGAAGACTGTGAACAACCCGACCCTTTTTGTTGGCCTATTTTCTTAACAGTTTAATCATGCGAGAGGGGACTTGCTCAGAAAACTAGCTTCACACTTTAAAAAAAATGTTACAAACTGAACTTAAATTACCGTACTTTCCGGTCTATAAGCTGCTACCTTTTTCACGGGCATTGAACCCTGCAGTTTATACAATGCTGCAGCTAATTTATGGATTTTTTTGATGGGCTAACAGTCTTCTTGCCATAAAAACATTTAGCCTCTGACACCTGGACACTCACATAGCTGCCCAATACATGTCTCTCTTGGGGTGTGTGTCCTCATGGCTCAAGGAGACGACCTCATTGGCTCATTGTGGTTGTCCATCGGTCCCATGGCCTCAGGGAGGGATTATAGGTAAAATTTATGTTCGTTGTTAATTATTTCGGGTAGCTGTTTAGCATTGTTGTTTTAGTGATTAGTCTATTCTTAGCCTAGTTTATGTGTTCATCACGTGTTCGTTTGTGTTAGGCCCTTCAGTAGAGTAACCATGAGTGCAGGAGGTGGTTATCATGAAGACACGTGGGGTTCAATTTCTCCGTTTGAGTTGAAAAGTAAAATAATGTCTGTGAAACACCATCTGGTGGTTGATTCTTGATCTACAGCAAGAGCTCCACATTTCTCTCAGTAGCTGTGCGCTACCATTCACGTTACAACGTGAACACCCGTGACTTGCAGACAAGCGCGGCTTATATACGTACAAAATTGTTTTTATATTATTATTTTTTTCTTGCTCCATTTTTTTTCCTATCCACCATAAATAGGCGGATAGGTGCAGCGTCTGCAGTGACGTGGGCGCTGTACCGGTCTGCCGTGGTGAAGAGCTGAGTCAAAAGGCGAAGTTCTCAATTTACCGATCGATCTACGTTCCTGCCCTCGTCTTTGGTCATGAGCGTTGGGGTGTGACCGAAAGAACGAGATCTCGGATACAAGCGGCCGAAATGAGTTTTCTCCGCAGGGTGTCTGGACTCTCCCTTAGAGACAGGGTGAGAAGCTCGATCATCCGGGAGGGACTCAGAGTAGAGCCGCTGCTTCTCCACGTCGAGAGGAGCCAGTTGAGGTGGCTCGGGCATCTGGTTAGGATGCCTCCTGGACGCCTCCCTGGTGAGGTGTTCTGGACACGTCCCACCAGGAGGAGACCCAGGACACGCTGGAGGGACTATGTTTCTCGGCTGGCCTGGGAACGCCTCGGGATTCCCACGGAGGAGCTGGACCAAGTGGCTGGGGAGAGGGAAGTCTGGGCCTCCCTACTTAGGCTGCTACCCCTGCGACCCAACCCCGGATACGTGGAAGAAAATGGATGGATGGATGGATGGATGGATGGATGGATGGATGGATATTATTTGCGCTCTATAGAGCAGCAATTACGGTAGACAAAAACCTCACACTTTGGGAAAACAACAGCGCAGTGACATTCAAAGTTTATTCACATCTGTTCTAATTATTTCTGCACATCTTCGAGTTACTGAACATCGCTTCAAATTTTCCTCAAATTTGAGCATCATCTATTAAAATTAACCGTTTACCTCCAGTAAAAACAGAACAACGTCTCCAAACTGGAGAACCCCGTGTTTCAGACAGAGAAACATTAAATGTAACATTTACAACGTAACAATGGGGAACAATGTTGGTTTGTTCCTTCGTGTTTCTAAATAATTTGTTCCCGTCACAGCCAGATGTAGCAAACGTTTTACAGACTCTGCGTCCTCAGAGGGAAAATCCCCAACTGCTCTGAGAGTTTCAGCTTGTCGACCAGAACCAGGACTGAACTGGTCGGAGAAACAAAACGGGTTTTACCTTCAGAGACAATTTTTGGTTGGACCTTAGTTTTTAATTTAAACCAATTTTTGCTGAAGCCGAGTCACAAAACATCCTAAAATCTGTGATTTATAGAAAATAGAAGACAAACATTAACCTTGTTTAACCCTTGTGACTTATTTTTGGTACATTTGTTGGTGAGAACAGAATCTGAGCTTTACAACGTGCATTATATCTCAGGGGGACGGAGGCGTTTCATTCTGAATTGTTGCTCTGTCAGAGCAGCTGACAGATTTCTCAGGGAAACCCTTTGTGGAAACACAAAGTACCGAACAGGACGTTCAAATATATGAGCTGGTTTTTTTTATCGTTACAGTACATTTGTCTTTTAAGTCAAGTGAGACCGTTCTACCCTGGCTGTGAAATCCTAAAACAAATAAAACAAATCAAGTTCTTTAATAAGGTAGTTGTTTATCATGAGGCATGACTGAAACTTCTATTTGGTATTTTAGTTTTTGATTTATTCTAAAATGGATCTTTTTTTTCCTGCATACAGTAAATCTACAAACACACATGGTTAGAGAATAACAGGATATCTGGGTGTTTGTAGGGCCAGCACTGAAATTTACCAATTTATTCAGACATTTCTGTTTGTGGCAAATTTTGGCAACAATAACAACTTATTTCAAAGTTTCAAGATTAAATTTCAAGAAATTATAAATCAAAACGTTCAGCTCTTTCAGGACAATCCTGCTTTGACTTTTGGTATTGGTGCAACTTTAGCTTTTTGAAATATTTAACCTTTTCTGCCATTTTTTTCTCACACAAAATGAATTGAGCTCATTTGACATCCTTCAGATCTTTTGATCCGTTTACAACCGTTTACTGCTCCTTTCACGCTTTGTTCTGGTTCAGCTTCCTTCTGCAAATTTAGACTTTTTCAGCTATTTTCAGCTCATTTCAGCTGTTTTCCAGCAGTTTTGCGCTCCTTTCAAATTCCTCTAACTACAACATTTTTGTCATTCTTCTAACTTATTTATGTTAATTTCAGCTTGTTTTTGCTGATTTCAGCTTTTTCTGCTATTTCAGCTTCTATTGAGCTGTTTTATGCTCCTTTCAGCTTATTTCTGTAAGTTTCAGCTTTTTCAGTATTGTAGCTACTATTTAGCTGTTAATGCTAATGTTAGCTTTTTCAGCTAATTCTACATTTTTTGCACTCATTTCAACTTTTTCAGCCTAATTCAGCAAAAATGTGCTCTCTCCACTTCCTTGTGGTAATTTAAGCTTCTTTCTGCTTTTTAGCTACTATTCAACTGTTTTTTTGTTGTTGCCAATTTCAGCTTTTTTCAGATATTTTCCACTGTGCTCATTTCTGCCTCTTTAAGCTAAATTGGGCAAACATGTTTTCTTTCTTTTGCTAATTTAAGCTTTTTCTTCCTTTTCAGATAGTTTTGTAGCTATTTTCAGCTGTTTTTAGATCAATTCAAGTTTTCTGTGGCAATTCTGCTACTTTGAGCCTAATTAACTCCTTTATTCTAATTTCAGCTTGCTATGCTGCTCCTTTCAGCTTATTGCTGCTAGTTTCAGCTTTTTTCTGCTTTTCAGCTGTTTTTGTGCTAAATTTAGCCTTTTCAGCTAATTCCACATTTTTGAAGCTCATTTCAGCTCCTTCCACTTCCTTCTGGTACTTTAAGCTTCTTTCAGCCTTTTCAGTTATTTTTCAGCTATTTTTTTTCTAATTTCAGCTTTTTTTAGCTAATTTCCTATTTTTGTGTTCATTTCTGTTTATTTAAACCTAATTCAGCAAATGTGTTCTTTCATTCTTCTACTAACTTTTGCTTGTCCTTCCATATCAGCTACATTTCATCATGTTTTTAGCTAATTTCAGCTGGCTTTTTTTCAGCACGTTCTTCAGCGATAAGCATTCACACTGGATTTTCGCAGGAATTGCAATTTCTCTTTTTTTGTTTTACTAGAGATCCCATCATTCTGGCTATAAATTACTAAATTCCTCTAACTTGAAGCAGATTTCACCTTTTCTTCCTGTTCAGCTGTTGATTTTTTGTTTCCTTGAGTTATTTTAGTCAGTCTGAGGAGCTGCACTAAACTCACTCTTATAAATAGCACCTTCTCATAGTGGATCAAACAGTTTGCTGGTGACATCCAGAACTAGCTGTTCATCAAGGAGAACCATCTGCCTAACAATACATTGTTAGTTCCCTGATGGTCATTTACTATTCACAGGGGGCTGAATGATAATAGCAATAGCAGCACTGTAAGACGGGGACAGTTGAACCCGGAGGCTCCGCCCCTGTTTAATGATGGACAGGTTCTCTTCACAAAGATGGCCTCCTTCTCTCCTCTCTCAAACCATCGTTCCTCTCTTTGTATTGAACGCTTTTTGAATCGTTCCTCTCTACCGGCACAAACAGAGTAATGTTGTGTATGCTGGTCACTGTCAGGAGGGCTGTGATCAGTCTTACATCAGGGAAACTAAACAGCCACTGGCCAAAAGGATGGACCAGCACAAACGAGCAACATCATCAGGCCAAGACTCTGAGGTCTACACTCGTCTGCAGACCAGAGGTCACTCGTTCAGGGATGAAGATGTGCACATCCTGGATAGAGAGGAACGATGGTTTGAGAGAGGAGTGAAGGAGGCCATCTTTGTGAAGAGAACCTGTCCATCATTAAACAGGGGCGGAGCCTCCGGGTTCAACTGCCCTACTATCATTCAGCCCTCTGTGAATAGCAAGCGGCCATCAGGGCACTAACGATTGATCGTTAGGCTGATGGTCCTCCTTGATCATGTGAACAGCTTTGCTTGTCAGCAGCAACTGGTTGATCCACTATGAGAAGGTTCTATTTATAAGACTGAGTTTGTTGCAGCTCCTCAGACTGAAGAAGTCTTTTGGACAAAAGACGAAATGTTTCAACGATTTTTAAAATGTTTTATTATTTTAATCTGTCCAGAGGACCTGACTTAACTTTGTTAGCCTCACAATTCTCAACCAACAAAACTTAATTTAAGCACAGATTCTGGTTCCAGTTTCACCAGAACTCATCTCTGACATATCTGGGTACAAACCTCGAACTAAAACTAGAAAACAAACAAACAAACCTTGAATTGCTTCGCTTTTATTTATTTATTTATTTGACATGAAGGTTTTTTTTAAACTCCTCAGATCATCCAGAGACAGAATCCACCGGACAGTTTTCCAGCATGACAGCGAAGGAGCGAGACGAGAAGGGGGGAGACAAAGTCGGGGAGAACAGTTTGGGGAGTAACTGACAGCATTTGGAGGGACGATGCGGAGGAGAGTGACGGGCTCGGGTCTTAAGAACTGGTGAAGAAATGTGTGGAGTCACGCTGGACGAGCTGCGAGTCAAACGATAGAAAGTTTCATGATGTGAGCCAAGCTTTCTGTGTTCCTTCACCTTGAAAGGGTAAGAAAAAGGGAGTTAGTGAGATTTATGAGCAGGTGAAGAACGATCCTCTGACAGCAGAACACAGACGCCACTTGGGCCCTTTTTTATAAAAAAAAAAAGAGGACGGGGCCAAGGTCAGTGTCACTTTCCTGCTTTAAAAGTCCCTTTAAAGAGGCTAAAACGTTCTTGGGTACATTTTAAGACTCACAGGATTTATATAATTCTGCTGGAAGCACTTAAACTTGTGGCGTGCGTTCTGCTTTATTTTTGAAATGGAGGCCGGTCGTCCCACGTTGTGGTGAAGCTGAAGCTTCCCAGGTGGAGAGTCCTGCTGCCGCTGACTTTTTGTATCGATTTAAAAGAAATATTTAGGATATTCTTCTCATTTCAACTCCTGTTTGTTTTTCTCATTATTTTATTGCTACTTCTTATTAAAAACATTCTCTTATTGGTTTATCGATAAATCGATATCGATCTCATCGTTTATCGATAAAGTCACAGTGTTTACACTGTTTGGTAAAAAACTCTTCTTTATGATTTGGGTCATATGATTTCCAAACCTAAATCTTTATCTAATTTTAATTATTTTCTTTAAATTTAAATAATTTGTCAGAGCGCCTCAAAAAGTATGAAAACTTTTATTTCTGTAAGTAAATCTGCTGCTCGGTGAGTTAATTTAAATTATATTAAGTACCAAAATGTATGTCGTTCATCTAAAAGTCACAGTGAGCTTTTTTCGTCTTGTGATTTACAAAATGAACTAAATTTTCAATCCAAAGGTGAAACTACCTCTAATTTTCAAAACGATTTTTTCACACATTTGAGCTGGATTTACTGTAAACTGGCAACCTATCTGAAAAACGATACGTTTAATTATAAATTACAGTTTTCTATGTAAGCATTTTATAATGTACTCCATTGATCTCTAGTGTTTTGTTTGTTTCTGAAAGAGGTATTTTTCTAATCGGAAGTGAATGTGAGGAGCTCAGCTGCCAAATGACTCACAGGCCCGACGAGCAGAACCAAGAGCCCCAAACCAGAACCAGTTTCTGCTGTTTTTATCATTAATCAAACCCTGCTTTGTAAAAGTCCAGTCAGCGTAAAACATCTTGAGTTTGTTTAATTAAATTTAATTTAATGGGGACAAGTTGAGAAATGAAACGGTTTCCAGTTGTGCCACAGATGAATGTGTCATGTTGTTTGTTTGTTTGTAAATAAAACTCAGTGAAAGTTTGTTTTTTAACCTTTAACCTGACTGGATGAGCTGTACGTTGGATGATGAGGCTCCGCAGCCGAAGCTGTCCTGTGTCGTCCACCGACTCCTTTCTGCTCCGGGCTCAGAAAACAACATCTGAGAAAAGACTTGTGTAAACTAACGCTCTTATTTTGTCTTTTACTTCCTGTTCTCTTGTTTCTCATTGTGTTGTGATTGATTTTACTTGAGCAGCTTTATGATATCACAATAAACATGTTTTTCTCCTATAATTTAGTCTGTGCTTGGTGTGTTTTATTATTATTATTATTATTATTTTTATTTGCACCACAAGATAAAACACAAAACAAATTAATGCAGACAAAAAAATTTCATGGAGAGGCAAAAAGCTCAAGGAGGTCATGTAAAGCCTTTCTCCAGAATAAATCAATAAAATAAATATATATGTATTACTTGTAAAATAATCTAATCAAAACACCAATAAAAATTAAGCACATTAGATTTAGTATAGTTTTAACATAAGTAAGGAGAAATTTGTTGAAGAAGACTGATAAACATTCACAATAATAAATTAGTTGTTTAGAGTAATAAACCAGTAAGTTATATTTTATAATAAATATCATTAATGCTGTCCAAATGTACTTAACAGTCACAACTATTGTTTGTTAAATTAATGTCAGAATTAACAAAATTGTGCCATTTCAGAATGGAATCATGAAAAAAATAAAGAACATCTTCCAAACAGTTGCAATAAATAAATAAAAAAGTTTCTAATATTTTACCAAAACAGGAGGTCTGTATTTGAAAAGATTTTAGTCAGCCATAAAGAATTATAATTTATTCATCCCTTCATATATTATTTTTTCTATAAACCTTCAGTAAGAAAACAAAGTTAAAATGAAACAAAATAAATTATTCTTTATGTTAAAATTATTACTCTTTAAATGTGCACATATACACTTCTTTTTCTAAACTTATCCTGCAACATAGTGTTTTCATTTGATGTAAAAACATATTTTTATATTAAACACTTTTGGCTAATGTTGTCTAAATCAAAGTCAATTTGTAAATCAGATAGTACAGTACATATATTATTTTTCGCTGTGATTCTATATATGAGGCTCCATTAGTGCCAAAAATATGTTTATGTGTGTATGTAAAGTGTGTATTTTAAAGACCCTTTTGCTTTTTTAACCTCAACATTTTAATCATCTGTTTAAAAAGCGAAACCGGAAGTGCGTTACACATTTTGTTTTCCCCAAACTGACAGAATTGGGAGTAAACTTCACTTTAGGAGCACTGACACGAGATGTCGAGGTTACTGAGTGCATTTTGGTTAATGTTTATAGTTTCTGGACATGTTTTTGACCCTTCACATATTCTTTATAAACATCTTGTTTTGAATGCTCTTACCGGATGTACTACCGAAAGTGTCTGTTGAAAGTCATCTTGATTGTTTTTTGTTTTTTATTGATGGTTTTGAAGCGTTATCGAGTTTTCTCTTTTAGACTGATTTGAATTTAGATATAATTTTTGTCTGTTTTGATAAATTTGAAATCTATAACTGTAAAGTTATTATTATATTTATTTATTGTAAAGTTAAGTATCTAGACTTTACGGACATCCGGTAAATATTTTCAAAATAAGAGTAAAACCAAAATGTTTTGGTCACCTGACGCCTCCCGTCGTCGTTCTACAGCGCTTCATCTTGGAGCAATTACTTCATCTTTGAAAGCCCGGAAGACTTGCAAGGCGATGATGTCGCGCTAAAGCAGGTAAGTTTCGATTCTTCAAACTTACGCTATATAAACTAATTTTCTGAAGATTTAATTAAAAAGTGTCTCATTGTTACGGCATTAGCTAATGTAGCTGTCCACTCGACATACGGTGTGTTTAATTCACATTTATAACTGTTAGCTAGCCAGGTCGAACTTGTTGAAGGGACGTTAGCCGATTGAGCTAACGGAGAGTTTATCAATCATTTCGCCATGATTCGATCTGTTTTGGGGGGTTTTTTTTTTCAAGTCACATGAACCAGTGATCCTTTTTGACAGCTTGCTAACAGGAACAGTTAACGTTGCCGGTCAGCTGTTTGTTTTTAGCAGAAGTGACGAGTCGTGAGTCATGGGATCTCTCTAACCGAATGAAACTAGAATTTCTCTTTTTGTAAACATTACAGTTTTATAGCGAAGTGAATCATCTTGACACTGTTTATCAGACGCAATAGATTATTTATAAGTGGAAGGAGGAGTCGAAACTATTTCAACTTCTAAAGTTTTAGGGAAGTATTTGTAAAACTAACTGAAATGTAACAATGTGCGTGTTTTTCCAGGATCAGCTGGCTGTGGAAGCATTTTATAAATTAAGGTTGACAATAAGTAGGTTTTGTTGGCAAGTTTCTGTAATTCTTTTCCAGTGATTCATTAGATATTTTGCTAACAGACAAACAAACACAGGAACATGCATTATTGTCCACGTTTGCCTTTTAACTGCAGGGGAGAGACATGCTTCGTCTCAAAGATTTAGTGCTTCTTTGACATGAATTACAACATTCAGCAATATGTTGTAAGAAAACAATGTTTTTATGTTGTTTTAAATAAGTTTCTTTCGGCTGCACCCTTCTGCAGGGGTCGCCACGGCGACTGAGCTTGCATGAAAGATTTGGCAACGTGTTCACACGGGATGCCCTTCCTGATGCAACCTGGACTTGAACCTGCAACCACCAAGCTACAATAATAATCAAAATATATTTTAACAAATTGTCCAAACTGTGTGTTTTGGTGTTTTCTTTTAATGAGCCTTCGTTGTTTTGCTGGGAGGAGAGGAAGTGATGTCGTTTACTTGAATCCTACTGCTTCCCTCTGGTCAAAATGACCCGGAGTCCTCGGTTTTCAAACCTCCTGACTCTTTGTTTGTCCAGGGGGGGGGGTTCCGATCTGACAGCAGGAATGCCTGGTGGAAACTACGCGGAGCTGGGGGGGAGCCTCCCTGCCCTCGCCTCCTTGAACGCCTCTTACTCCACGTCGTTGTCCCTCCCTTCCCCGTACCTGCCTGTACGAGCCATCTCCGACGTCCGCCGCACCTTCTGCCTCTTTGTGACGTTCGACCTCCTCTTCATCAGTCTTCTCTGGATCATAGAGATGAACGTGAGCGAGACGACTTCATGACGTGTCCGTGATGCAGCGAGTTGCTTTGACTCTGCTCTTCTGTCCCGCAGATCACTGGAACCCTCTGGGAAAACTTGGAGGATCAGGTTGTCAGATATAACTTCAAGTCGTCTTTCTTTGACATAGTAGTAAGTAAACATCAGCGAACATTTAAACTTTATTTTTACTAACGAGCAGGAAGAAATGCTCGTCTACGTTTATGAACGCGCAGGTAAAATATCCGTCCCTTTCATTCCAGCTTCTTGCCGTCTTTCGTTTCCTTTGTCTACAAATCGGTTATGCAGCGTTCCGATTGAAGCACTGGTGGGTTATTGCGGTAAGTCCGCTGCAGCAGTTTGATTTGAGCACGCTCTGTTCCAAGCAAATTAAATCTCACGTCTTGTTTGCTGAATCTGAACGAGAACTTCCATCTTGGTTGCAGGTTTCCACTCTGGTGACCACAGTCTTCCTCGTTGTGAAGGTCATCATATCCAACGTGAGCGTTCTTCTTCTTCTGCTGCTGCTGCTCTTATCTTTTACAGTGGACATAAAACCCAGCTTCTTGCTGTGGTTGTTGTAAAACTCTTTTGTGATTTCTGTCGCAGCTTCTGTCTAAAAATGCCTTTGGCTACGTCTTGCCCATCACCTCCTTCGTAGTGGCCTGGGTGGAGACCTGGTTCCTCGACTTTAAAGTTCTGACTCAAGAAGCCGCCGACGACAGAGGTGACGTTAAAACAAGACACGTTTAGCTCGTCTCATCAAAAACGTGTCTGTTCTTTACCCGAGTTCTTCCTCTGACCTCAGCGTATTTAGCAGTGGTGAACGCAGCCTGTGAAAGGGCTCCTGCCATCTACCCCCAAGCTGTTTCAGATGCGTTCTACTCCCCACCTGAATCTGTCGTAGGTGATTGTCTGAAGTTGTGGGTTTAACTCCTGTACGTTGATGCAGTTCATGTTTGAGCAACGGGTTGAGTTTTTGTCCTGAACCTTTGCAGACTCGGAAGAGGATCTGGATGAAGAGGGCCTTGGGCGAAAAGCTGTCAGTGCTCAGGTACCTGCGTCGGTTACTTTTTATTATTTAATAATTTTTATTCTCGCGCTCTGCTCATCGTCTCCTGTTGTTCTGTTTGTGCAGGACAAGGAGTACGTCCGGCAGGGTTGGGAGGCCATGTCTGTGGTGGAGCAGATTCTCACTCAGGAGGACAACTGGAAGTTTGAGAAAAATAACGTCAGTACTTCAGTTCTTATGCACGTGCACCGAAACACCTTTTTTTACTTTCCTGTTCAAAAGTTTTCTTCTGATTTTTGCAGAGCTTTAAAATAAAAAGAGCAAATACGCCAAGGCGTGCATCTTGGTCAGGAATCACGTGCGATGACTTTTGGTAGCGATTTGTTATACAGCGATGACACAAATGGCAAACAAAAAAGGCGCACAAAACAAATCCAGTAGTCGCTCGCTACTTTGCGGTTCGTTTATCGTGGATTCGCTCTATCGCGGTTTTTCAAAATAAGATTGGACACGACACACAATTGGTTGATTGATGGATGAGCTGCACGACTGGCATGGAAGTTTTATTTAAAATAAATTATTTAAAACTATTTAGCACCTGCTGCTCCTTTGTGCAGCCCTTACTGCAGGATAAACTTCCTCCTGCAGCTGATCAGCTGATCTGCATGCAGAGTGGAGAAGTGGGCGTGGCCAAGAGCGCTTGTAAGCAGCAGAGGCACAAAGAGGGAAATCATGACATTCTGTCTCTTTTAGAGCATTTAGACTTTAGAAATATTGTTTAGAATATCCCAAGAGTGTGGGAAGGTTTTAAAATGCGTTAATATCTACCGTATTTTCCAGCGTATAAGTCGCATCAGTCATAAAAAGCATCATGAAGAGGAAAACAATATATGACGCATTTATGAAGTGTTTTTTATGCCTTTATTTAATGGTCAAAGCAGTTTCATTATCCTGGGCGGCGCCATCCATCGCAGCCAGAGAAGCTAGCTCTGCACGTTCCTCCGCCTGCACCAGCCAAGTGAAGAGAGCGCGCACGGGAGGACGCGCTGTTGCAGTTCTTCGAAATTTAAAGCTTCAGTCAAAAATGCGTTGTATACGTTTTTTTTGTCTTCATATTTATAAGTTTCTTTGGCTTATAAGTCGCAGTACTGACAAATTATGCAAAAAACCTGAGACTTATACGCCGGAAAAAAAAAAAATAAATAAAATACATATATATACTAAAATAATAAACTACTACTTACTACTTGTACTATCAGTAGGTGAAGCCCAGCCGTGTTTGTAGCTCCCCAGCTGAGGCGTGTGTCACGGTACAGACATGATTCTGAAACTAAACTGGTCACAGAAAGTCGAACTGTCCGTGTCTGAACTGGTATTTTAATTTCAGGTGTTTGTATAATCGCAGTAGAGGTTTTATCATTTTTACAGATTTTGCAGCAGACGATGCACCGATCCACTTTTTTCCCACTTTCGATACAGAAAAACAATCTGAATTAACTTAAAACGTTTTTTTTTTTTTTAAACGCAGACATAAATGCACCGAATTACACATTTATTGAAAACTCCTCACCAGTACAGCACACTTAACACACCAGTAGATTCACAGTCTTGGTCAAACGTAAAAACAAGACAACTTTAATTTGTTCAGTCGGTGCAGTTATGAGTATAACATCAAATGTAAAATAAATAATAATGAAAATATTGAAACTGACAAAAAAACGATAGGTTTGGTCAAACGTGAAAAAATAAACTCTTAAATGTCTGTACTAATATCTGATCGGTGCATCTCTAGACTGCAACTAGTTGATGATGTCACTTTAACTTATAATGTTTTCCAAACAAACTCCTCCTATGCCCACAGCTTATTCTGGTGCGTACACAAGTTACACATGAAAACGTGGGATTTTTGTCCTGGTTCATCCAGGGTGGGCCGCCCGTCTATAAACCTCAGGATTTCCTCTTGAATCCCCTCAGAATGCAAAGAACGGACGCCTAAGCTTCCACAGATTCAGTTATGTTTTAGCTGAAAGTATCTTCAAAAACCTGGACGTGTAAGTTTGTTAGAACTGCTCATATTTTCGACATAAAACACGGAAGAAATGTCCCGTGCGAACGTCGGTTTTCTGCCTCTCGTGGTTCAACGGCTTTTAAACGGGTGCAGCATTCGAGTGGTTTCGTTCTTATCCGAGTGACGGGAGCTTTCGTGTTAATGTTTGTAAGATACTATCTGCTTCAGCACCTCTTTTCTGCGGGGTTCCACAGGGCTCAATTCTTGGACCCTTTCTGTTTTCACTCTATCTGCGCCCTTTGGGGTCTATCCTGAGGAAACATGGTCTATCAGCCGTTAAAACCCAATAGTTCTTGCTCCATTCACCCGCTGTTAAAATGTCTTGATGACATCAAGGCATGGCTTCAGATTTTTAAGTTTTTAGTTAGTCGTTCTTTACTTTCTTCCTGATTCGGACGGGATGTCGGCCCTGCTTCTGTCTGCCATTCAGCTGTTTCTCACACAGTCAGACTTCCTTCTTGGTGCGTTTATAAATCTGTTAGCCTCGGGCTGATATTTGAAAGCGTTTCTGCGAGTCTGAACTCTGTTCAGTCTCTGAACTTGAGCGTCTCGATTTAAACAAACGTGTTCATCTTGTTGCAGCTTGTGGAGAAACGTGGCTCGACTGTAACACACTTGCTCTCAGCTGGTGCATCATATTCACTCACATAAAGTTTATAGAACCAGTTTAGTAGCATATCGAACGGGAAGCGAAACCCAGCTCTTGTCAAACAACATTTTTCTCTACAGTTTCTTCCCCTTTATGTTAAACTCAGATTCTTTTTGTCTGGATTTTATTTGGTGGAAGTAAAAACAACCTAAACTTTTTTGTGGTTGAGTTTGTTTTTAGAAGAAACAAAGAGGAATTTTGTGCAAGTGAAACTAAAATCTTTCTGACATTCAGTGTTTCGTGTCGTGACAGGACATGGGAGACTCCGTTTACACTCTGGAGATTCCCTACCACGGAAAGACTTTTATTCTGAAGGTACGGTGAATGTGAAACCGAGTATCTGAACAACAAAGTTATTTTTGAAGTTGTTGATTGAAAACTTGACATCTCTATTCGTTGTCTGCAATCTGTGCCTAAATATAGTCGTACATGTTCTCATGAGAAAACACCAACAGATGACGAGAGGCACGTTTGAAACAAAACTGATAAAGCCTTAAAGTTTTGCTCATCTCGTGTATAAACTGGGTTCAGCTGTAAGTCCTCGCAGATAAATTATTCACTCAGCCCGTTTTTGTAAATATTTTAAATTTCTTGTGTGAACATTTATGAAGCATTCGCTCTATTGTGAACTATTTTTCATCTTTATGTTTGTCTGCATCTTTCTCGTCCCACAATTTTTGTGGTTTCAACAAATCATGAATCGAAACGTTCGGCTCTTTCAGGACAACTCTTCTGTGACTTTTGGTATTGGTGCAACTTTAGCTTTTTGAAATATTTAGCCTTTTCTAACACTTTTCTCATAGAAAATCTGTTTACAACCTTTTACTGCTTCAGCTTCTTTCAGCTTCCTTGTGCAAATTTAAACTTTTTCAGCTACTTTCAGCTAATTTTAGCTGTTTTTTCAGCTATTTTGCACTCATTTTATATTATTTCTGCCAACTACATTTTTGTGCATCTTCTAACTTATTTCTGCTGATTTTTAGCTTATTATGCTCCTTTCAGCTTTTTTTTGCAAGTGTCATTGTTCCCCTGTTATTTCAGCTACTATTTAGCTGTTTTTTTAATTAGCTTTTTTGGCTAATTCCACTTTTTTTTGCACTCGTTCAAACTTTTTTCAGCTTAATTCAGCAAAAAAGTGCTCTCTCCACTTCCTTCTGGTAATTTAAGCTTCTTTTAGAAAATTTTAGCTACTTTTCAGCCTTTTTTTGTTGTTGTTGCTAATTTCAGCATTTTTCAGATAATTTCCACTTTTTAGTGCTCATTTCTGCTTTTTTCATTCTAATTGGGTAAACATGTTCTGTCTGTGTTCTTATGTTAATTTAAGCATGTTTTCAGCATTTTTCAGCTAAATTTAGCCGTTTTCAGATAAATTCAAGTAATTCTTCTGGTATTTTCTGCTACTTTGTGCTTATTTCAGCTCCTTTCAGCTTTTTTCCTGCTATTTCAGCTATTTTATAGCTGTTTTGTGTAAAATTTAGCCTTTTCAACTAATATCCACTTTTTTAAAGCTCATTTCAGCTCCTTCCACTTCCTCCTGGTAGTTTGAGCTTCTTTCAGCCTTTTCAGCTACTTTTCAGCTATTCTTTTGCTAACTTCAGCTTTTTTTTTTAAATCGAATTTCCTATTTTTTCTGCTAATTTCTGCATATTTAAACCCAATTCAACAAATATGTGTTCCTTCTGATTTCTTCTGTTCGTTTAGGCTTGTTCTTCAATTCCAGCTACATTTAAGCTCGCTTTTAGCTAATTTCAGCTGTTTTTCAGCAAGTTCTTCAGCAATAAGCATTCAAATGCAATTTCTCTGGTCTTAGTTACGTATGAACACTTAGTTCCTGTATTTCTACACAAACTGGAAGAGCTGAGCTGCAGAAACAGAAGTCCGCTCACAGAAGAGTTAGTTTTTTACTCGGATCTAAACGTCACAACGGTCCATGTAAACAACATATTAAGTCCATGAACTTGTTTAAAAGGAAAACAGATTTTTCCTGTAAGTTAACGAGCACGAATGTTACAAATGAACATAAAGCTAATTTTAATTTCCACATGAGTTCTGCGTGAACACGAAACCAAAATGTTAATTTTCAGATGACATGCGGTGGAATCATTTTAAACGCGTTAGCTTTCTGCTTCTTGCAGGTTTCAGTAGACGTTCTGTCTTAAGGCCTTGGTTCTGATCTGTCCAGGCGCTCATGCAGTGTCCCGCGGAGCTCGTCTATCAGGAGGTGATCCTGCAGCCGGAGAAGATGGTCCAGTGGAACAGAACCGTTTCTGTCTGCCAGGTGGTGCTTCTTTCTTTCTGCTCATTGTTCTCTGATGCTCTGGAGCTCTGCAGCCTAACGCCGCTCTCTGTCCTCAGGTCCTTCAGCGGATTGACGACAACACGCTGGTGTCGTACGACGTCTCGGCCGGTGCGGCAGGGGGAGTCGTGTCAGCCAGGTGCGTCGATACGCGGCGCATTTTCTTCTCATCTTTTCCTTTAATCGAGCTTGTCAGGATCTTCAGTCTGAGACGGCCTCAGGTCTCACTGATGCTTTTTTCTTTCCTCCAAAGGGACTTCATTAACGTTCGGCGCGTTGAACGCAAAGGAGACTGTTACATGTCGGCTGGCATGGCAACCAACCACGACTCCAAACCCCCGTGCAGCCGCTACGTCAGGTCGGCCTTCAGCCGCACTTCCTGTCGACAGTCCAGTAAATTAGAACATCGTTTTAGTTTTAGTCTGACTTCCTGTCTAAACTGTTTCGTTGTGGGTTTCAGGGGGGAGAATGGCCCAGGAGGGTTTGTGGTTCTGAAGTCCAGCAGTAGTCCGTCCGTCTGCACCTTCATCTGGGTCCTGAACACAGACCTCAAGGTGGGAGTCTCTGATCGTTTTCAAAATGTTCCAGTTAAAGTGGGAGGATTGTAGTTGGAGTACAGTAGTCCCTCGTTTATCGCCGGGGTTACGTTTTGGACCCCCCCCTCGCAATAAGTGAACAACCGTGAAGTAGGAACATTATATTTATTTTAGTATTTATTAATATTTTAAGGCTTTATAAACTCTTCCCACACTCTTACAATGTTCCTACGTCATTCTAACAGCATGCAAGTAGCAGCTACTGCAAAATTTAAACTGGGTACTAACCAGCCTTGGGGAGTTCTCCGGTTCTACTCCGGTTCTGATCAGCTCTTTGCAGCCATTGAGCACCAAGACGCTTTTAGAGAGAGCTGGACCTTCGGATAGCCAGCACCAAACCACACAACGGTCCCGATCGAGTCCAAATCCAGTTGGAAAAAGTCTCGGTGAGCTCCGGAGGAAAAAAACTGGACCTCCAAGCAACGCCTCCCCGCTCAAGAGGCCTCATGGGCCGGCAAGCAGCTCTCGGATTGACCGATGAGGCTGGAGGTCCGGTTCTGGTCCGGTTCTGGTCCAGTTCCCGTTCCGTTCCGTACGGCTCTCTGCATCCGCTGGGCGCCGAAGTCGCTGTGAATAAGGACCGAACTTTTTCGGATCGGATCAAAACTTTCTCCATTTCAGCAGAAGGCAACAGCTGGAAGCACTGTTGGCTTCTGGGTAATGTAGTTCTTTTGACTGCGATACAGTGTAGGCTTTTTGAGAGAAAATACAAAATGGCGGCTCATAGCCAAAGTATTTTTTTTTGTTAACTTTTTATCCCGTACCGTCCCAGTCACATGAGTAATATTAAAGTTGACAATCATGTCACGTACAATTTAACGTTTTATCTCGTGTACAATCTCACTTTGAAAAACTGTGAAAGAGCGAGTCCACAAAAGTCAAACCGTGAAGTAGCGAGGGACTTCTGTACTTCAGGAAAAAAAAATCTAGTAGAAGAGCATTAACCCTTTCGCTTGTGATGTTTTCTCAGGGTCATTTGCCTCGATACCTCATCCACCAGAGCCTGGCCGCCACCATGTTTGAGTTCATGTCCCATTTACGCCAACGCATCGTGGATGTTCGGCTTCACCGCTCGCACCACCACCGCCACACCTAAAGCAGGAGAGCCCTCCTGATGCTGGACCTCCACCACTTCTGCAAACCTGGTGTAGCAGCTCGTGGGATGCTCCTGAAAGAGAAGTGCAACTATAACTGAACAGGCTTCATTTGGAAGCGCAGGAGATCAAATTTCCGACAGTTTCGTTAACGTGGACGTGCGACGAGAAGTGTCCCCGCCGGAGGTCACGGTGCACTTTACGAGACGACCTGCAGAAGGACGGGACTCATCGGTTGCGGAAGACGGCCGACTTCTTAAAGAAGAACTGCTGCAACAGCCTGAAAACAGCCGAGCCTTCTCTGACGGAACACGCCGTTTATCATTAATTTGCTGCTTTTTTTTATATGGATTTGTATCAAGAATTATCACCGCACGGTTTATCTTTTTGTTTCTTCCTTCACTTGTTCAGACTTTGCAGCTGTATTTTCAACAAACACCTGGTTTGATGGATTACAGCTATTTTGACATAAATATTCACCTTTAAACTGACGCTCGAGGTGCACTACCGCCTGCTCGCCACTAGAGGGAGACCTTGCAGGTTCATTCGTCTGTTTTTCTTATTATAAAACATAAACTTTGCCCGTTTTTAGGGTTAGGAATAAGAAAAATTACAATTCTGACATAAATTTCTGACTAAGCTGTTTTTAGTGCCAAACATTTGAGTTGCCAGATTCACGTTTTTGTCTTACGTATGAATTAAATTACAACTGACTCTTCCACAAACCTCCCTGAAGGCGTCCATAACTTTCTGTTCCTTTCATTTATTTTTTACATAATATTTGCAACGGGCCCTCCGGCTCCACGTGGGTCCTCGGAATGTCAGGATTCAAAGCTGCATCTGTTTCCAAACTGTCTCGGCGTTCCTTTAAAGAGCGAGTTGCGTTTGTTTTTCACGAGGACCTTATTTGTGCCGTCAGCTCTGAAATTCATCGTTTGTGCAGATGCTGCAGTGACGGTTGGAAATAATTGACGTACGCGGTTATTAAGGATAAATGTGTTGATTTTAGCCGCTAAGAGGGGAATATGAAATGAATTTAAAATGATTGTGCCTTTATCACAGGAATATTACACAATGGCCTTTTATTTCTTTACATTTGTGCTGCTTCCTACAAACGGACGCCTGCTCGTGCTCAGTTTCTCATCTGTCAATCAAATGTTTTAAAGCTGTCGCTCTTAACGTCTTCTGTCTAATAAAACACAAACTCACGACGCTGTACTTTCCTCCAACTCACTCACACACGCAGCATTCAAGCGTTTCACACCCACGGGGTTAAATTATTTGCAAGTGTTTCTTTAAAAATGGATTGGATGTTATTTTTCTCTTCCGGAGCCAAAGCAGAACTGAGTGGTCCTCGGCACGCTCCCTGGAGAGTCTCGGTTCTTATTCTTTCTGCAAAACAACCGTGTCTGTAAGAGAATGAGTCTTCTTGCATGTGATGCAGTTTAGTTAAATATTTGCAAAGTTTAGGTCGGAGAAACGGAAAAGAAACTTCTTTTGTAACTAGTGTGCGTGGATCTTTTGGTCCACTCTGTTTCAGTATTTAGTTTTTAATAGTGTGAACGTTTATGAAGCATTCACACTATTGTGATCCATTTTCCTTCCGGACGTTTTTCTGCATCTTTCTCGTTTCACAATTTATTTATTTTTGCTATTTCAACAAATCATAAATCAAAATGTTCAGCTCTTTCAGAACAATCCTGCTATGATGTTTGGCATTGGTGCAACTTTAGCTTTTTGAAATGTTTAACATTTTCTGCCATTTTTCTCATAAAAAATGAGATGATCTCATTTTACATCGTTCATATCTTCACACCAGTTTACATTTTACTGCTCCTTTCACATTTTGTTCTGCTTCAGCTTCTTTCAGCTTCCTTGTATTGTTTTTCTGCTTTTTTGTGATCCTTGTAGGTTCTTTCTGCTGATTTCAGCTTATTATACTCCTTTCAGCTTATTTATGCAATTTTCAGCCGTTTCTGCCATTTCAACTACGATTTTCAGCTACATATATATACTTTTTTTTGCTAATTTTAGCTTTTTATTTAATCAAATTTCCTAATTTTATGCTAATTGTTTTTCCTATTTAAACCTAATTCAGCAAATATGTGTTCTTTCTGCTTTATTCTACTAATTTAGGCGTGTTCTTCCATTTCAGCATGTTTTTTTCTAGCTAATTTCAGCTGTTTTTCAGCAATTTCTTCTACATCACACTACATTTTTGCAGGAAATGCAGTGTCTCTAGTTTTTTTACTGTAAGTTTTATTGTCTGATTCTGCACAAATTCTGCCACAATATTTGAATGATGTTGAAGGTTTTGGCTCATCAGAAGCAAAACCCTTTTATTTCCTATCAACCTTTTTGATGCAGATATTTGTACTGATTTTTTTATTTTTTAGTCTTTTCAGCTAAACTTCGGCTGTCAAGCAAATCTCACAGCTGAATGACTCTTCTACCACCGTGCTCGACAGTTATGTGCAGCAGAGGTGCACTAAATGTTCTGTTTAAGTTCGTGAACGTTCCACACCAGCTGCATTAGTTCAGAAGTTTTCTGATTTTACTCCCAGAACCTTCAGCTGATGTCTCGGAGCTTTAGAACGTTGGAGCTGCAGAGTCGCTTCTGTCCCTAAAAATAAATATAAGTAAAATATGTCCAGAGCTGCGATCAGCAGCTGAGAGGGACAAAAGAGCCACATGTTCAAGTTCAATTATCTTTACTGTCATTTGCATCACATGTGGTACATGAGGTGGAACAAAACTGTGCACTCAACGTCTCAGTTAAACCCAAAAATAGCAAAAATATGAAAGAGCAAAGGACATAAGGATTTAAAATATACACTAAATACTAACAATGTAAAATAATGTTTTTTTTCTTTCGGCTGCTCCCTTCTTCAGGGGTCGCCACAGCAAACTAAGCTGCACGAACACTTGGCAGTTATTTGTACACCGGACGCTCTTCCTGACGCAACACTCGAGCTACCACAGCCTCTGGGTGGAGCAGAGAGCTGCCGTAGGGCGCCCGGAGGAGCAGATGGTGGGGGTTAAGGGCCTTGCTCAAGGGCCCAGAGTGGGGCAACTGAGGGTAGAGACAGATGTGGGTGCTTCACCTATCCCACCCACATTTTGATGTCTGCACTGGGAGTTGAACTTGCGATCTTCCAATCACAGGCCCACCTTCTCTAACCTCTGCGCCACCACTCCCTAATGTAAAACAATACGGTGTATATTAAACAGCAGCCCGAACATGAGTCTGTAGTGAGTAGACGGGTACGAATGAATACCGCTGCATGGGTAATCAGCAGCATGAGATCAGCAGCAGCACAGTCACATAAAACCAATTAAAAATGCATTACAGTGATTTTTTTCATGAGTCTAACAGCCTCAGGGTAGAAGCTGTTCCTCAGTCTAGTGGTTCTACACTTAATGCTCCTCAACCTCCTTCCTGAGGGGAGCGGGGCAAAAAGTGTGTGTGCTGGGTGAGTGTGGTCCTTCATGATGCAGGTGGTCCTCTTCCTGCATCTGGAGGTGCAGATGTCTGCGATGGTGGGGAGACTGACTTGTGGCTCCAGAACCGCAGGTTCAAGACCTCTGTATCAGCAGCAACTTGTATTAATGGTATATATTTATTTTTATTCTCCACTTCCTCTGCACATTTGATATAAAAATATAAGCAAGACTGTGTTGTGTAAAAATCTTCAAACTGGTAGAGGATGAAAACTGGTTTTGGATCTCCAGAGTTTTTCATTCTGAAGCTTTTGTGCTTTTCTTGATAAACTGAGCGTCAGTTCTCGTCTCTCTAACCTCAGATCTTAACCTCCAGTCACACAGACTGAACTTGAACCCACTGACCCCTGATCAAAAGTCTCTGCAGCGTCCACACGTGTGGCGTCCTGCACCGCATCATGGGAGGGGGGGGGGGGGGGGGGGGATACCTGCAGATTTGACTGAAGACTTTTGCATTACAGCTGCTGTGTTGCATAAAACACAAAGGCTAACAGCTAAATCACTAAATACTGGAGGCCCACCCTGCGTGACGTGTCCTCCTGGAGGTACACAATGTCCCCAGTCAGACTAAAAATAGAAATGGGATGTAAGGACTTTTTAAAGTTTGACAAACAACCCTTGAAAGAATTGAAGTCTCTACATCCACACATTAAAGTGGAGTCAACAGAGCCGTGGTGGATTTGATTCAAACCGCCTGTTGTTGGGATGTGTTGTCCTCGAGGCAAAGCACAATGCTCAGGACAAGAAGCGTCTCACATGATTGTGCTGTGACTGTCTTCTGAGGCTATGGGTGTGTGTTTTTAACATCCATGAGGGCGGAAGCCTCTTCAGAGCCCTTCTTGTCCTGCATGAAAGGCTGACGAGAAGCCGTCCCCGCGCTGCAGACGAGCTTCATCTGGAGGACAAACCTGGACGCCGAGCGGCGCGCTGGCCGGATCGTGGAAGATGGGAAGATGAAAGTTGGTCAAACTGAGCGTTTTGTGTTTCCTTTTGCCACAAGTTCCTTCTGAAAGTGAGCGAGGAGTCGGAGAGGTGGAGCACACGGATGGTGACGGATGATTTTTCTTGTTTTTTTCAACGACACCCTGCGATCTAGATCCACTTTTTGAAAACGTTTCTGTGAAGCGTTCACACGAGACGCTGAGCGGCTGGAGCTGGTTGAACAAAAAGAGCCCCATCGTTCGGAGGAGACAAACTGAACCTCCCTCTGGAGTTCCCAACCCGCCTGGTTCTGGTCCTGTTAGATGGGTTCGGCCTTTAAGAGGTTCTGCACGCAGTTGTGCTGCTGCTGCTGCTGCGCCGACGATGACGACGACCAAAAACAACCTTTAGTAACGTAAGTTGACACGGCCCACAGCAAACTGATTAGCACGTTGCTAAAGACCCAAAGATCAACATCTGCGATGACGTTTGTGCAGATGTTTTCAACAAATCGTTGATTCTTGTGTTTGTTGACCCACGCAGTCCTGATCCACTGGACTATTTTACTCGTGAAGTCCAGAAGAGGCGAGATGAGGAGACCAACCTGTGGAGCGAACCTGGAGACCCCAGCCACACGGAGCGAGACGACGACCGCACGCTTTACGGACTGCTTCAGGCCAGGAACATGACCCGGGTTGGGTCCACGGTACGAGACGGGCAGACGGCTCATTTAAACTTTGGTTTAGAGGAAACAAAGACCAGACAGATGTTTCAAATGGGCTGAAACTAAACAGAGTTTACCACTTTGTAATTTCTTGAAGTTTTTCTTCATCGAAGCCGATTCAAAGATGATTTTTTTTTACACACGATGAGATATTTCTGACTTTTCTTTGCAGGGTTACCGTCGTCTGAGTGTCGACATCGAGGCCATGAGAGACACGCGCAGAGAGGTCAGGGACAAATGGAGAACCATCCTGGAGAACCTGGGTAAAGACGGAGCAGTTACACAAACAAACACCTTCCAGTTGCTTCTGTTAACCTCTGTGCTCGTCCTCTCCAGGCTTCATGGCGGAGGCAGACTCCCTGCTGACCGTGTCTGCTGGTGCGTCACATGACCGCATGCATGACGCCTCAGCAGCGCGGGCCTTGCTTCACACGCTGCACACCGAGACCTCCATCTTCAACGGCAACGAGCCTCCGCCGGAGAGATACCTGTTCATCCTGGTGTGGGAAGAAAACTTCTTTATTCCAAATCAGGGGTGCCAAAATGGAGAAAAAAGAAAAACATAGTCCAAGTTGAAGCCAATCCAAAATGGCTGCCTCAGCTAATCTACGTTAGCAACACACAACTGGTTATAGGGCAACGATTTTCACAGATATTGAGTTAGGACTCGGGATTAAAAGATGTCCTTTGAGCTGTTTGTGTCGCTCTTTTTACATCAAAATTAAAGATTATTTTTAAACGTTTAAAATATGACCCCAGCGGCACAGATCCAATGGCAGCACCCCTTCAGTTTAACACAGGTGGTAATTTCTCAGATTACCCTGAACTGAAGTTTGTGTTTTAAGAACTTCGTCTGCAGTCATGTGAAGTAGAGTTTACAGGCAGAAATCACAAAAGAAATAAACATTTCAGGCGTCTTTTATGACCAAATTTGAAATGGATTATGTAAAACCGTCCTTTGTTGAGGATTTTATGCTTTAACACGACTTCAAAGTCAAATTTGTCTCCCAGATTAGGAAGAAAATGGCTTCAGTCGCACATCGCTCACTCAGTGTTGGATAAAAGACAACATCCGGCTACGGTTGAGTACAGCTCTTTCTTTTTCTCCTCACAGGATCGCCTCCTGTACCTGGACATAGCTGAGGATTTCCTGGCGAAGGCAAAGCGCTTCTATCCTCCGAGAGATGGTTCTGAAGACGAGGAGGAGACGCCAGGCCTCGCCATCAACCTGCCGCTGCTGCTGGCCAGAGTCCAGGCCATGAACGGACGTGGTGCAGAAGATGAGGATGAAAGTGATGAGAGGGATGATGAAAACTGAGCCTGAAGATTCGCAGGCTGCAGTAACAGAAGATAGCCAGCAGGGGGCAGTAGTCAGCAACGCAGAATGCCTTCAGGTGTCTTATTTGTTTCAGAATTTTAGTTTAAATAAAACAATTAGGCTGAATATATTCTCCTTTATTGCACAGCTTGAGTCCTTCTTTTATTTTCTTTCTTTAAAAAAAAGTTTTGAGATTTGTAGGAGAAAGTTAAGTTGAGTGTACAGAAAGTTTGTCCGCCACTACTGATGTAATCTGATGTCCTCCTTGGTTTTACGGTGATATATGCTACTAAAATCAAGTTGTTTAAATCTACATTAGGCTTTGAATTTAGTTGAGAAATAGTAAATGATAAAGTATGGGGTGCCGTTTGTAAATTTACACAGTCAAACATTAACAGCAACATTTTGGTTTATTTAAACTTTCATCTAAAAAACAAAATTGCTTTTTTTTCACAGTCATATTTTCACCTTGTCGTTCATACATTTATAAATGTCATAGTTCTAAACTAAACATTTAATTTAAAAGCTAAATATTTAGTTTACAAACTAAATACTTAACTTGTAATTTAAATAGCAAGATAAATATTTAGCACCACACTAAATATTTAGTTTATAAACTAAATGTTTATGTCCAAGCTAAATGTTTAATTTACAAAGTAAATATTTAACTTGCAAGTTAAATATTTAGTTCACTAAATATTTAACTTTATTTAGTGGACTAAATATTTATGTGTAAATTAAATATTTAATTTCCAAGCTAAATATTTAATTTCTAAGCTAAACATTTAATTCCTAAACTAAACATTTAATTTAATTAAATATATAGCTCGGACCTAAATATCTATTTTCCAAGCTAAATATTTAATTTGCAAAATAAATATTTAATTTGCTAACTAAATATTTTGTTTACAAACTAAATATTTAACTTGCAAGTTAAATATTTAGTTTGTAAATTAAAAACATTTAGCTTGGACATAAACATTTAAGCTGTAAACTAAATATTTAGTGTGGAACTAAACATTTAAATATTTAACTTGCAAGTTAAATATTTAGTGGACTAAATATTTAGGTGTAAATTAAATATTTAATTTCCAAGCTAAACATTTAATTTCTAAACTAAATATTTAATTTACTAACTAAATATTTTGTTAACAAACTTTGCAAATTAAACATTTAGCTTGGACGTAAACATTTAAGCCATAAACTATATATTTAATGTGGAACTAAATATTTAAATATTTAACTTGCAAGTTAAGTATTTAGTTTGTAAATTAAATATTTAGTTTGGAACTATGACATTTATAAATGTATGAATCACATGTTGAAAATATGACTTTAAAAAAAAAAGAGCTAATTTTTCCTTATGAAGAGCTAAATAAACCAAAATATTGTTGTTAATTTTTGACTGTTTGCAAACGGCACCCCATAATAATGCTGCTGTTACTGTGAAGACTCTCAGGGGGTCCAATGTACGTGTGACGTGTGTGGGGGAGCTTTTCCTTTAGAGCAATCTTTAAGAAAAAAGGGGAGAAGTTTCCAAATGAAAGTGTGAGTCTGCGCACGTGTTCAGGTTGAAATAAAGTTTCTGCCTAAAACAATCAACCTTTATTTATACAGGTAAATCTAAAACATCTGGTTCGTGCAGCGTCGTGTTGATGCAGCGTCCAGTCGCTCTAAATTTAGATTGTTGACATGAAGAATAATAACTCTGGCTGTCTTCAGCAGCCAGGAACAATCAAAGTTTGAAGCTTTCAAGCAGAGTACTTTTCCAGCTCCCTCATGTGGCCCATCTGTTGGGTATTTGTGCTCCTCTCACCTGCTGCAGGCTGTCGGGCTCTGCCTGCCCCCCCCCCCCCCCTGAGGCCTGCAGGCTGTCCGGCTATGCCTGCCCCCCCTGAGGCCTGCAGGCTCGGTGATGATGGCGTTTTGGCAGTCAGCTGCTTCTTGTTGTTACATAAGAGTGGAGGCGCATGCTTGGGCGGATACGAAGCCCTGAGAGTGTGCAGGAATCATCCTCGGAGTTGTCTCCACTCAAACCTGCTCTTTGTGTCTGTGTGGGGGGTGTCTCGCCGTCCTCCCAACCTCTGTCACAACAGAATCAAACACACTTTCCCGAGGCTTGAGCCCGGCCTGAGCTTCTTCCTGTCAGCGACGGCTCATTTAAATGTCACTTTGCCTCGGTTGTGCATGGCGGCGTTACATAACGTGAAGTTCCTTCTCACTGAGGCCGAGGAGGATGAAAGGACGGGGGGCGAGGGGGCGGGGGGGTCTGTGACAGGCTTCACTTTAAGTCTTTGCTCACCTTTACAGACCCCCACATTCATTACAGCAGGATGACTCACCCCGGGCCACCAAAGCTTCAGCACGAGGCCCTGCAAATTCTGATAATGAAAAGTGTGATTTTAAGAAGCCTTGTCATTTTAGAAGTTTATTTTATGGATTTATTTAACTTCAAACAGTGATTCTCAACTGGTGGGTCGTGGGCCCGTTTTCGGTGGTAGGGCAAAAAAAACATTAAGAAAAAATGTAAAACGTTCTGATCGATCGGACCTTGTTTGTTATATTCAGTGGATGCTAAAGCAGCTAAAGTTACGTATTAGGAGCCTTTTTGAAAGTTCTTCTCAGGAGTAGAACTTTTTTATTGTTTGTAGCTAAAATCACTGTTGAGTTGTTAAAATAAACACTGAAGTGTCGGTTGTAATTAAAATGGAGCTTATTGTTTGTGGAGGTAACGTTTCCCTCTCTGGTCGCCACTTGCCGGTCCTTGTGGTCCAAACCTGCAGAGGCAAGGGACCAGCAGCGTTTCCTGCGTCCAGAAGAGGATTGAGACTTCTGTTTTTACGTTTTTATGATTTGCCATTATTCTAACATGGGGCAGCACGGTGGCGCAACTGGTGGAGCTGCTGCCTCTCAGCGAGCAGGTCCTTGGTTCAAACCCCGGTCCAGGGGCCTTTCTGGGTGGAGTTTGCATGTTCTCTCCGTGCATGCGTGGGTTTTCTCCGGGTACTCCGGTTTCCTCCCACAGACCAAAAACATGCATGTTAGGCTGATTGGTAACTCTAAATTGTCCCTAGGTGTGAGTGAGAGTGAATGGTTGTTTGTCTCGTTTGTCTCTATGTGTCCCTGTGATGGACTTGCGACCTGTCCAGGGTGTCCCCCACCCCTCACACAGTGATTGCTGGACATGGGCACCAGCGACCCCCATGACCCAAAATGGAACAAGCGGGTAAAGAAAATGGATGGATGGATGGATTATTCTAACATTCTTCAGTAAATTAAAGTCAGACTGTGGACCAAAGTGCAAGAAATTCAGGGATGGTGTTCACACTGTAACTAGAGCTTTGGTATGAGCCTCACAAAAGACATGTCCCCCCAAATGGTATAGGCCACGCCCACTTCTGTCAATTCAGTTCAGTTTATTTATAAAGTGCCGTCACAGCAGAAGTTATCTCATTGCACTGAACAGAAACATTCATATATACAAATAAATTAATAACATTAATTATTTGAGGAGCAGGCTGCAAGCATGAAGGCGACAGTGGGAAGGAAAAAGTCCATGAGGAAGAAACCTCCAGCAGGACCAGGCTCAGGACAAGAGGCGTCAACAAAATTATGTTGGTGTTGCAAAAGGCGCAAAATTAACGTTGCAAATATTTTAATTTACTTTTTTAATGTTCTGTTTGTAGCTTGTTGAGTTGAATTTTAACATAATTTACTTCAGTTAATTTGACTTCTTTCTCAAGGCTTTTTAAAATTAATTAATTAATTAATTAATTTAAATTTTTTTACATTTTCTCATGGTACGGAGCCCCCAAGGGGACTTGGGGATTTTATTTTTATTTTTTATTTATTTTTTTGCATTCCTCGTGTGGTGGTACAATAAAAAGAAAGCCCAATTAAAAAAAAAAATATTTGTTTATTTTTAACTCCTGATTCTTCAGCTCAGTCCAACACGCAACAGAAAAGTGTTGAGCAAAGCTGCTTTGGAGATGAGATGAGATCAAAACGCAACGAGCTGGTTTAAATAAGTTAATTTATTATTATTGCTTTTTAAAAATCATAACAGCAAATTCTAGAGGCAAATAAGACATCTGTCTTCAGATGTGTTTCAAGGTGCAGAAATGTGACATACTTTATTACAAACTAACTAAAGAAGTTTGTTTTTATTGATCCAGAACTTTATTTTGAAATCTGGAGCTACTGGAAACACCTTCATTCATCTGAAGCGAAGTTTGTCATGAACCCAGTTCTTACTGGGACAGACCTCTGTGACGACATGTCAACGTGCTGATCTTATTCTGCGGTAATTCTCTAATAACCAAACTGTTCGTGTGTTCCCTCGTCCTGTTGTTGCTTTGCTTTTCCACGGGATATTTTTAAATCGTGCTGGCAGAGGGCTCAGACGATCAGAAGGAGTGGTGTTAGCAGAAAAGACGAGCGTCAGGTCAAAGGGGCCAAGCCAAGGTCTCTGGGGTCACGCGAGGCTCCATAACCGTCGTTTTGATACCCTTAAGATTTAAGACGGCCTGCTGGTGAGAGCCTGAGAGGAAAATGGGGTTTTTCCCACACACGTGTTCGCTGTGTGAGCACAAACAACATACCAAAGGCTGAGATTACTGCGATCTGACCAATGCAAAGCATTTAATGTTACACAACACGTTGTGGTTAAAAAATAATGCTGAGAAACACTCAAAATGGATTCAACTCAACTTTAAAGTGCCTGTGACGTCACACTTTTTTTGCCATAAATACAAATGCATTATCATAATAACATGAATAACATGCTGCCCCCCCCCCCCCCCCCCCCCCCCCCCCCCCCCCCCCCC